CCGCGGAGCCCGCACGCGTGGGGTTTCCCGTCTGGGAAGCCTTGAGGAGCATCTGTGAGTGGTTGCGCGTTATTAAACCTGTGTTCTGTCCCAGACAAGAGTGGGTGTGCCCCGGTGTGACCGCCACTGGCAAACTCTAGGGCTGAGGCTGCCGGGGGAGCGCGATGCACCTCAGACATCGGCTGGAGCTGTTCCCGGAGAGCAGCGTCACGCTGCTCCTCTTCAGCCGCGTCAAAAATGCCGCTGCTCTGCGGAAAAAAGCCATGGAGGGATCCATTGAAGGAGCACTGATAAACCCTGCGATGGTGAGTGAATGCTGGCCTCGTCCTGTGTGTACCGCAGTACAGGTTTGAAGGTAGCATGGAGACCCTTCCTTGGGGGAGCTGTGAAAAGCGCCCTGTGCAGTAATCGCAGCCACACCTGTGTTGTAATCCCTGTCACACCAGTTGCCCTACACAAACTTTCTCTGCACAAACGCCGCTCCTTTCATTCCATGACAGTGGCACAGCGTCAAGGCTTGTCTATGCGAAAGCGAGCCCTGGCAGCACTAACCAGAATAGTTGTCATCTTGATTCACTTGGCATCCTGCTTGGTGGAGCTATTTAAATCTACTTCCATCTCTAAAATGTAGTGTTAATTGCTTTATGGTGTCAAAAATCTACTGTTTGGTGCCTTTGTTCTCATTTAAACCCATAGCTAGTTTTCTTTTTTTGTTAGAATTAGCGAAACAGTAGTTAGGGAAAGGGAAAAAACAAGAATCTTATCTGGCAGTTTACTGACAGAAGATTTAATTAATGTGATTCTTTTTTCAAAGGATTTCAGTAATCTGATTGGGAGTATAATCTTTCTGTCAAGTATTACTCCATGCAGGACATAATCACACTGACTTTGGAAGAGCAAGAATTGCTAAAATAACTAGCAGAATAGTGTTTTGCTCACTTCTCTGATTACAGACATACACTATCAAAATTAAGTGGTCAGGATTTTTTCAGAGTTAAAAACAGTATGCTAAATTTCTGTTTAACTTCTCTTGTGTTTTACAGATTGTAGATCCTTTTCAAATTCTTGTGGCAGCCAACAAAGCAGTTCATCTACACAAGATAGGTAAAATGAAGACTAGAACACTCTATGCAGAAATTATTTTCAGCCTTTCACCAAACAACAATGTAAGACTTACTGAACAAGTGTCCTTTTTTGCCAGAGAAGCTTGCTAAGATCCATGCAGCCAAAGTAAATATATATATTTGCTTAACTGTTTACCTGGTTACTAATAGAGGTTACTGTTATTTTTAATAACACTAATATGCTGTTATCTCTTGTAGCTTGCCAGAATTCCATTAATCTAAAATGTGTGTCAATTTATACTCTTGGGGATTTTTGACCCAGTAACTGAAAAGGTTGCTTTCATGTAGTGAGAAAGTGACTCATGTAATACTGATGTAATATTTTGATATTTTTCATGTTTTCTTAGATTTCAGATGCATTTAAAAAGTTTGGCATTTCAGACAGTGACACAGCAGTACTGATTGTTCTGGTTGTGGACAGTGAAAAGCCTGAAAATCTGCAAGATATAGCATCTCAAGTAGAAGGCCAACAGGTTTCTCTGGATGAACTCCCCCAGCTAACAGACATTGCCAAAATTAAAAAGGTACGTAGCCGAAAGAGATGACTGGTGTAGAGATAAGGAATAGTTTAGTTGTCTGATTAAGTATCAATGGACATAATTAACTTAGGGTTTGTATTTCTTTGGCATGACTGGAAACTTGTTTTAAGTGAAACTTGATTGTTTTTTTCATATAACTTTTTTGCTCTGGAAAAAAGTTCTAGTTTTCACACCCTGACATCACGAATTTTAAGTCATCAAATACTTAACATTGTTAGGAAGTTGGAATATAAAAATAAATTCCAGATTGCTGCCTACCACTCAGTCACTTTTCCTTCCTGTTGCCTCAGGCAAATATCCATGTAATTAAAAATAAACTTTCAGTCCTGAACAGTTTCATAATCTTAAGCACATAAATAGTCCCAGCATGGGCGGCTGAAATAAGAATGTGTTGATCAGCTGCTAGGAGCTGTGACAGGACATGTGTGCTCTTAACAGATTACCATATGCTAGATAGGTATCTTGAAGCATATGTGTTTCACTTGGTAAAATTCAAGTAACTTGAATCATCTTGATCATATCCCCCAAAGTAACGATGGGAGACATATGAATACAGTTGGACAAATCACAGCATATAACATGTGAAGTGCTACTCTCATTCAGTTTCTTTACTTTGTCTCTTGCAGTTTCAGAATTCACTTGCAGGCAAGACAAGATAGAAATTTCTAATGTAGAAAGTAGGGGAGAGGGGGAAATCTTTTCTGTTGTGTATATGTTTCTAGAAGATAGGTGATCAATTTTTTTCTTACTTATATAGCTTTCATGTTTTTCTTGTTCTTTTTTTCTGCAGGTGTACAAAGTTACTCCACAGGAAGAAAAAATCAGCACCTTACTGGATAGCGTCGTTTGCAGAATGTCAACAAAAGATGTTTAATGAAAATGTGGAAATAAACTTTTATAAAGGAAAACCAGGACTTTTTAAGATGTACAAACACCTTATTGCAATTCATCCTGCATTTCAGAGAAAGTGGTGTAGTACTGAGTAGTTTGATGGCATTTAAGCTTTAACCATAAATGAGCAAACTTGGATATACAATCCATTTTATGATTCTATGATACGGCGGTAATCTGAGCTGTGTTCTAAGCACAGAGAGCAGAATTTGCTATTGGCATTTCTGTCCATTTTCTTAACAAGAGAAAAATATCATTGATGCCAGTCCCTTAAGTTGATCGTAAACAGAAGGCTTAAAAATCTCTACTTAGCTTTTCTCTTTCATCAAATGTTTCGCTAGTCCCAGATAGGATTCAAATACAGTAAATAATTTTTATTACCGCTCCCCTGCCTTGTTTTGTTCTGGCACCCCTGATGGATGATATCCTTTTAACGATACTACTGCTGCAAGAGGTGTCTCTGTGGCACAAAGTATTGCTGATGAACTAGAAAAAGGAAAGTTTCCATAAACTATCAGGAGTGCCTCTCTCTTTCTGCTAACGGGGTAGAGCCGCTGCCCACTGCTTGGGAACAGGCAGGGGTGGGAGGGTCAGCATGGCATCTAGGGGTGGGGGCAGTGTGGGGCAGGGGCATCTGAGAGGTGCAGAACAGCGAGTAAGGTGTGGATGTATGATGAACGGTAAGGAAGTAAGGTAAGGAAGCACAAGTGATGCTATGGTGGTGTTAGCACCTGGCAATCTGATGTCATCAGATGCAGTGTACTGCTGAGGAGCTGCTGTGGTACTTCGGTGTTGGGGTTAAAGGATAATGAGAGGTGCTTTTACTTTATAACACTGAATTATGCATGGTGGTGCTGACTTCCTAGGGCCTGGCTCTAGGTGCAGAATTCACAGAGAAATTTGCACTTAAATATTCACTTAAATTGTTGATATAACTTACACAGCATTCTGAAAGGATGGTTGAACTCGTTTTATTGAACGCATGTTAGGAAAAGCCATCAAAAGGAAGTAGAAAGAATATCGATTTCCAGTAGTCACCAGGTCAAGCAGCCCTCATTGAGTATCATTTAATCATGTGCAGGCATCCTGTTAAAAAAATTACTGTCCTAATTAGGTAGAAATCCATACTGTTTGTTATTGTTAAGGTGCATTGCTTTTCTGGGATGTATGTAAAACTGTATAGCTGTCTGTGTTTTGGGTTTTTTTTCCCTAATGTTCTCTGAAATATTATGATGTGTGTACTTACAAGGTATTCGTAAGAGTATGCCCCAGATTCTTACACATAGTGTTTGGGAAAAGAAAATGTATTTTGGGGGAGAGGCACGTCTGAGTTAGAGTTGAAACAATCCACTACGGTAAACAGACCAGCTAACTGACATACAGACCTAGTATTGCCTGTGGTTCTGTATTTAACATGGAAAGCCCTAGTTTCTGCTTTGCATTTTGATTTTGGTTAATTCTTCCCCCCATTAAAACACAGTAGTACAAATACTGTCCTTTTCTTACCAGCCAAATCAATGGGAAAATACTTAACTGAGTACCAAGGGAAGTATAAGCTCTATCAAAAGAAATGTTTTGGGAGAAAAGGCTGTGCTGATTTCTTGATTTAAAAATTCTTTTGCAGAATGTATCATCCTCTCTAAAGGGAAATGTGAGGCAGTAGTAAAAAATGGAGCTTGGAAGGGCTTGAGTATTTGGAAAAAAATTGTGTGTAACGTCAGCATGTGAGAACAACAATGGAAAATAAGATACTTGTTTTCCTTGTCTTGACAGTCCAGTCGGTACATGGAGTATATCAGCATTTGCTGGCTGAACTGCTGACATTGTTTTTGGTAGCTTAAAAGAAGAGCAGACAGGTATGCTTAAACCACAGCCTTTTTTGAACATGTGTAAAGCATCAATCTGGTCTGTTTAATACAGGAGAAATAATAAAGAGATGGCTGCATAACAACTGATACACAAGTTTCAAACTTGGGTTCCAAGTTTCTAATCTTTGTCAGTCCATTTCATTTCATTGGTGTAGAAACAGTAAATAGTTTGTTACTGTTGACAGGAGTTAAGTTATGAAATTGTGATTTACTAGGAGACCCAAATGAGCTATTTTCATGGGTGGATTTGCCAGTAATTATTTTGGGAGTTGAAGCCCCCGCCCCCATAGTATCATTCAGTCAGGCAGATGATTTAAGTCTGTTGGCAGTGAAGACTATGCCATTGCCCTGTAAGACCACAGTGTTCCCCTAGTCCTAATTGCATTATCTAAGTTAAATAAGTTACAAAAACTGTAATACAATAAATGCAGATTTTGTTGACCCTGCAAAGTTACATTTGTCATTCTGAACACATTAAAAATTAGTAAATTTGGATCTATAATGTTACTGTTAAATTGACCACCCCTGTTTTCCAGCAAGGCAAAAGTTTAAGGTAAAAAAGACAGGTTTTTCAAAACATTTAATGTTTTGGTGCTGTCTTCTCTGAACTTTCGTACTTCATCTCCTCTGTCATAAGGTGAAAGAGAAGAAGCTGAAGCATTTTCAGTACCTGACTTGGATCTCCAGTGCTTCAGAGGCAGGATTACACCTGCATGATTTATAAATTTAATAACTAAATAAAAAAGTGTGATGTGTGGTCAGTTGTCCCAGCTTTTCTCTTTTTTAGGTGGGGTGGTGGTTGGTGTGGGTTGTTGTTTTTTTTTGCCTGTGCTGCCTTTTTAACATTGTCTATATGACAAAAATTGAGCAAAACCAGCAGCTTGTGCTTCTAAAAGGCAATCACTAAAACCTCGTCCACCACAGAACTCACTTTCCTGCTTGAATGCTTTGCAATATGTGAGTTTCTTAGGAAAAAAAAAACAAAAGAAGAGGAGACAGGGCAAGCAAGAAACAGACTGTACCAAGCCATCTCTTGCAATGACTTGGTAATACGCAGTAAAGCTAGCAGGCTATTGCTGATCAAGTTAAAGACGGTTCCCAAGCCTTCGGCCCAGGTAGATCTGATATATGTCCAAACTGCTGTCCTGTCCATCACGTATAGCTCTGGGCATGCAGCCGGAATGCAGACATATACTCAAGGAAAACTTGCCTGCCTTGTCCTGACAGTGGTATTTGCCCTCCCCTCTGGGAACACACCAAGATTTACCAGCAACCTTCACCTGTTGGCTGGCGGACGTGCGGGGGATCAGATGTGTGCCCATCTCGTGGTTGGGGGAGTGTATATTTTGGCACATGGCAAATCTCACAGTGATGTGAAAGGGATAGTCACAAGTTTTGCACAGAAAGAGGGAAGCAGAGCATAGGCTACCTCACATCAGGGTGTCTCCTCCCAAGTGCTCTGCGGCCACATCTTCAGGACACTGTGATAAACGTGGCAGCACAGATGATACAGATTAATTGTTCTGGCAGCTCAATTTATGAGCTGCAGCCTGTGCGTCTCTGAATGGCATGTCTGATGCTAGTAAAATGTGTGTCTCTAAAAGCAATGTGTGTTAGAACAAACAGCCAATCTGATTCACAAAATACTAAGCAAAGGAAAAACCAGCATCAGCTGTAGGTGACTGGCTCCAGAACTCAATTCCCTCACCATTAGGTGTGCCCCCCTCCTCAGCTCTATTCACTGCCTTCCTCTCCTCTGTCATCCTGAGATGCTTTTACTTTAAAAGCCCTTCACAGTTTACATTCGTCTCCTACAGCCTAAGCTTACCCTTCTTGCCTTGTTATGTTTTCAGAGCTGCAGTTTCAGGCCTCCTTCTGTGCCTCCTTCAGCTAGGGGAATTTCCCTTCATCATTTTAAAAATAAATGATTATTCAGTACCACTCTGACTCTTTGTCAAAACTCCCTCTCTCCTCCAAAAGCCTTGATGATGATAAGCTTCCAGCATGCTGAGCCCATTGCCCATCACACAACCCCAATTGCCTGAGGTTTTTTGTACTCCTGTCAGAACGTATAAATCCCTTTCTTCTCGTGTACTTCAATGGTGCATTTGCGAGGGGAGGGACTGTTCTTTTGCTTTAAATTGTAATATTAGTTCATGATATATGGTTTATGACTGGGGTCCCTATGTCCTATGGCAATGTATTTAATGTGCTAATCATGTATTTTTTAATTATTATTATTACTTTGTGTGCTGTTCTTCAGAAAGATCATCAAAGCTTTGCTCCTGTGGTAAAGCATGGTACCTAACAATTGCCCGAGTAGGGTAACACCACTGGAGTGCTGCACAGATACAGAAACACTGACTCCAGCACACACCCCCACCTGCTGAAGAGCTGACATAGGTGTTTCTGGTGCTACACTGTGCTTTGTAAACACACCTTGAGGTACACCATGTAGGTCGTCTCAGAAACATTTCAGTTCATGTACCTCTCCTGATGATGGATACCAGAATGGGGTACACAGTACTACATAGTTACAAAAATGTACCTATCTGTTCCTAAGTATTCAAAATGTCTTGCAGTTCTTCTTCTTTATTAGGATATTGTTTGTTAGTTTAGGCAATGCTGAAATTTGGGGTTTGAGCTAAGTTCAGGCTCCAAAGGCTTGGACTATTGTTCCCCAACAGCCACTGTTCCCCAAAGCTGCCAGTCCATTGACCTGAGCTCGCCAGGAATAGGCAACCGTGCAATTAACAAGTTTAACAGAGACTGCCAACTGGCTGTATTTCCAGAGAGCCTGTGGGTTTTCTGAGTGGAGTTACTTCCCTGAAAAAGTGGACGTAAGGAATGCCACGTATCGAGGATAGGCTGGTGTATGTAGAGGTTGGAACTGCCATGAAGTATTAATGAATCATAGAAAAGCAAGCAGTAGTTGAAGAGGAATTAAATACATTGGTACAAGATTGAAGACTGAGCCAGTTGATTCTGCAATAAAGGATGCTTACAAATACAGTTTATTTCATGGTTTTATTCCTGAGTTTACAAAGGCATTACCGTAAATTAAAAATATGCAGATGCAAGCCCCATATAAATGCTCTTCAGCAGCTGAGATGAGAGTTTGACTTGTTCAGA